TAACTTCACCTAGAGCCAGATCCACTGTGTAAAAGGAGCTGTTGGAACCTGGGGATGTATGGTCTTGGTGACAGTGGTGGCTGGTGACCCCAGAGACCTCTGCAGAGATGTGGCAGTGAACAGGAGCAACAGACTCAGAGAACTGCACTGACTAGCAGTGATTGCAAAGGGCTCAGTTACCCTGCATGAGAGGGCGATTGGCTGGCAGTCATTTTGTAGTTGGTCAGATAAGCCCAGAACCAGAACTGTGGCTGGCTCTTTCCACTAGCTCCTAGCTGGGAGCAGACTGGTGGAAATTTCTTGGACTGAGCCCCACCCCCACGTGCATTCCAGCACCCATCCCTGAGGTTCCCAGCAGGTAACCAGCTTGGCCTGGAGGCTGCAGCTAGCCCTACCCCACTCCCCACACTCTACTAGCCATTAGTGAGCCAAGGCAGACTGGGAAAAGCAGCAGACAGCCCTGCACCAGCACACCCAATAGCCACCACCAGATACCTATAGCCAGCACTGGCTAGATGAACCAAACAGTCTCACTTTAGAGAAATTGTAGCCAATGCAGGAAGTGCCTGAGACCCCACTATCCACTTGTCTGGAAGAACACAGGAATATGACAAGACAAAAAAAGCAAAGGCAGACCAACCCAAGCAGAGATAATCTAGAAGATGTAAACATGAAAGAGATCAGGCGTTGCACACCTGAATTTTTTGAAGCAATGGTGAATGAAGTAAATAAACAACTTCATGAGGCTATAAAGGAAATTAGAACAGAAAAAGTATATCAGGTAAAAGAAGAAATGAAAAACATAGTAAAAGAATTGCTAAGCACCTCTAAAGAAGACATAGATGGAAGAAACAGGAGCATAGGAAAATGAAGGAAACCTTGAATTAACAATATAAAAAAGATTTGGAATGCATGAAACAGATTCAAGGAAATACTGAAAGGTGGCAAAACCACTTGAAAGAAACTAAAGATAGACTTTCAAATCTTGAAGACAGGTTTGCAGCTTGTGATCATGAAAGGAAAGATCTCTTAAAAATAACAATTCAACAGCTGCAAGACAACCAAAAGAAACATAACTTAAAAATAATAAGTGTGAGTGAAAAGCCAGGGATAAACACAAATGACATTAAAAGTCCATTTACAGAAATAGTATCACAAAACTTAAAAAGCATAGGAAAAGAAGTGACATTCAACTAAGTAAGGCAAGATCCCAGAAATTCAACACAAGAACAGAATATTCAAAACTGTTGAGAAGAGACAGATCACCTGTTAATGAAAACCCATCAGAATCACAACAGACTTCTTAACACAAACCATCAAGTCAAGAAGAGCTTGAAGTATTTCAAGTCCTAAAAGAAAACAACTTCCAATCCAGATTGATGTACCCTGAAAAACTGTCTTTCAAAATTAATGGAAAACAAGATACTTCCAGGACAAAGAACAACTGAAGGAATTCATGACCACCAAACCACCCTACAAAGAATACTGAAGAACATTCTAGACAGAGATAAAAATGACCATGATTCCAGGAACAGTGGCAGAGGGGGATCACTGAATGGAGTAGAAAATGGTATGGAGGGGGAAAAGTAGGCAGCCAATGGCAGGAAAATAGCCTTGCAGAGACAAAGCAATGCATGCTGGCCATAATCACTAATATAGATGGCCTCAATTCAGCAATAAAAAGCAAGAGTGGATTAGGAGACAGGGTCCATCAATATGCTTTATACAAGAGCTCAAAAGGGGGTTCATAGACTGAAAGTCAAAGGAAAGAGAACAATGCTCTATGTGACCAGAAAGAAGTTGGGGTAGCTAGCCCATCATTTTCAGACTGGATAAGAAAGATATGGCACTTTTATACAATGGAAAGCTATCCCACTATAAAGAAAGATAAAATTGAGGCTCTTGTAGGTAAATGGATACAACTTAGATCATACTCATGGATGAAATGATCCAGAGTCATATAGGTGAACATCTTGTTATCTCCTAGTATAAAAAAAACTACAGGAATTAGTGCAATCCAAAATGCACAATACAAAGTTGAAGGGGAGAAAGTGTCTAAGAAGGGTGGGCAGTGGCCATTGTTAATCTATTATCATGATTTGAAATCCATATTGTTTTCATTGTTTTGTCTGGTTTTATTCTGTTTTAGTTTGTCTAATCTTATTATATTTGATGGCATGGACAGCTATTTCAAAGTTAACAAAATTTTTTTTTTGTTCTAATTTCCTTTATAGCTATTATCTTGTTTTGAAGTCTTGTATTGCTTTCATTGTTTTGTTTGGGCTGATTTTATTCTATTTTGTTTTATTGTTTCATGTCTGATGGTATAGGCAACTAGTTTGAAGATAACAAGATGTATTATGGTACCCACTGTTGTTCTACTATTATTTTGTTTTGAGGTCCTGTACTGCTTCCATTGGTTTTATTCTGTACTGTTTATGCCTGATGGTATGGGTAGTTCTTTTTAAGTAACAAGAGGCATTACAATAGCCATTACTGATATACTTGTATTTTGTTTTAAAGTCAGGTACCATGTTCATTGTTTTGTTTTGATTGACTCTATTATGTTTTGTTTCATTCAGTTTTATTCTCTTCAAAGTAAGAAAAAAATTCTGCAGTAAGAATTTCTCTTTCCCTTTCAATGTACTTTAAGCAATGACTGTTAGCAATTTCAATTTGGCAATTATGTATTGAGTTCTCACTCTAGCAGATGATTCAGAGAAGTATGAAAGTAAGTAAGTTGGTCAGTAAGAATCCTAAGCACTCTCTCAAGTGAGCTCAGGGATAGCAGAAATCCATTCTGACATGAGACACCAGAAAACAGGCATTCATCAGATTACAACATGGGAAACAGGCTTTTGTGCTAAACTGCCCGGTTGCCTGGCACAGCCCAATTTACAATATTATTCAGGTGTGAATTTTATGCACTTTTACTCTCAGAAGTTTTCTTTGTACAATGAATTATGACCACTCATTGAAACAGGCATAAGACGTTGATAGTGAGAAGGAGGGAAAGAATTTCAGGTGGATTAAAGAGCAAATACAAAAGGATGGAAAAATTAAATCCCTGGGTATGTCTGGGGAAAGCTGTAACATTTCTACCATGTATGCAAGAGAGGATACTTTCCCTTTTTCTGTTGCTGGTTGAATTAAATTTGGAGCAGGTTCTTCACAAACTGTCTTGAGTCTTTTGTTTGTGCAAAATTTTTCTTTCTAAGATTGTAAGTACTGGGCAGCACATTTTCCTATTTATCTATCATTTTCCATTTTCATTTGATCAGATTGTTCTGTTTCTGGTAATGTACTATTTTCAAATCACAGGAGAAAAGAGGGAAATTATGAAGTGATTCATTCACTTCATTATCTGCCTTCTAACCAGTTAACACTGAGTTAGACGTACAATGGGCTTGAACTTGGCTTTTGTGTTTTCCTAGAAACAAATGTATGAGCCAAAACTAGAAAGATATTATTTCTGTCTTTGTAACTATTCAGAGGAAAACAATGGAGTATATTGAAATAAAGAAAATCTTAATTTGTGGTTTTTCAGAACAATAGATTTTGCATTATTACTTTTTTGTTTTATAAACTACATTTCTGATAGTATTTTCCTGCAGTATTTTTAAAAGAAAGGCAGTAAGTTTAGGGCAGAATAACAGTGACTAACACTGTGAGCATAAATGAAAAAATAGGACAATTCAACTAAGCATTTTCACCAATAACTAAAAGACTATCTTCCTTGTCACATGAGAATACATAGTAGACTGGACTTTCATGCCTGTTCATCACTGAATACTTTTCATGTTAGCATGTTAAGGGTGTCCACTAAGCTCTAGCCATAGATTTTGTAAGAGTTCTATTCTTAGGGGCCTACAATGTGGAGTGTAGACTGGTATGGACAGATAGCAAGGGGTGAGGGCTCTGCTTCATTTAAGGAAAGAGGTGCAGGGATCTGGTGGGAGACGCAGCTCCCTCCTTGATCCTCCAGCCCTTCCTGCTTGTGTTGCTGGAGGTAACCCCAAGAACTATCACTTCCAGGTAGAAAAAGGAAGTCCACACTGCAGCAATCCTGCTAGTAGTTCTTTTCTTTTCCAGCACAGTTTAGTTTCAAGGTTTCCTACAGCATGAACATGGAATCTAGTCTATGTAGTTCTTATGATAGTATGGTATGACACCTACCAATCTTCAGAGAGGGCTTTTATAGTTTTAATCAATAGCCAAAATGTAATTATTCTGATTTTCAACTGTTCACAAGTATAAAAAGCTATAAATTCATTTGGAGAAGTGATTCTGATTAGATACATGGAACCCCTCTCTTCCTCAGGCCCTCATCTTCCTTACCTTGGCACTCACACTGGTCCACCTGTCTCTCATCTCTTGCACTTTCATCAATTTCTGGGATGTTCTTCAAATGATCCTTCTAATACAAGATTTGATTATGCTTTCTGATAGCTCTCCTTTGAATAAAGCTGTAGCTAATGGAAATACATGCAAAGCTGTGCACAGATAACTTTTGGCCTCATATTCTCCTACCCATCCCTCATGTCTTTGTAGAATTTAACCCTGATGAACTTGAACTCTCTATTAAGCCTTCCTTGACTCTTGGCTCAGTTACATTCACCTGCATATTATCATAGTGACTGGATTCTCTTCTAGGCCTCAGTGTTTTTCAAATATTTTTATCTTTGTATCTTTACTGTTTGAGAGCTGGCCTGGTATGTGCATTTGAGGGTACAAACAAAAGAAAAAGGTAGCTGAATTAATTTCTTTTTAGGCAGAGCTTTCTTAAAAGCAGTAGTCCTGATATGTTTTATTGGAAACAAATGATTATCTGTATGTTTGGGATTGCATTTGGCTAAGCTAATTCTGAAGATGGGTAATATGAAGATGTATGTGCATAAGGATAACAAAACTAAAGATTTATGTGAAAACTCCTAAGGTGGATTGAATAAAACAATTCAATTTCTGATAGATGAATAACACACACATCACTACAAGTCATCTTCATATAAATATGTTTTATTGCAGAGAAGTTATAATTATTTACATGCTGCCACACATCACAACACGAATTTACCAAATATTTCATGGTGGGATGCGGTAGGTTTCAGATAATAGTTTCAGTAGAACCACAGATTAAGTGAAGAGACTTACAGCTTTGTTGACTCTACAACTCCTCAGTTGCTAAATGCTAGAAGTCAAAAGGCAGTGTTTATTCAGTCCTACCTGTCATCACTTGCATGCAGAAACCTAGGAAGCAAATACAAGAGAACTGTCGAGTTTCAAATCCATATTGCCACCAAAGTTTACAATTGGTTATGATTCATATCATAATGCATTTAATTCTTGCATAAAATATACAGTTCTATTAAGACTGATATAAGTCTACTTATTTATAAACCCTGGCTCAAAAACAAGGACAGGATGCAGCCTGCACATGCATTGAGAAGGACAACCTAGCAAATGTTTGTGAGACCTTAATAGTGTTTAGTTACTTTCTGGTTATCAATTTGGGATAATAACCTCCAGAACTGTACATTCTGACTTCTCTTGGTGATAAGTAACGGCAATGAAACTCTAGGAAAGGCTCTAGCCATTCTCACCGATTATGCTGGTGAAGAATAATCTATAGACTGTAGAATGTCACTAAGGTATAAGTTGGCAATTCTTCTAGAAGTCACATCCATATCAGGATCATCCTGAAGTACAATAAAATTCATCGATATGTGACTAATTCTGAAAAGTGAGTCAAGTGCTACCAGATTTCAAACATAAGTGAAAAAAGTGGGTCTAGGAATGCTAAACTGAATTCACAAATACATCTAAAGTAGTATTCTAAGGTCACCAAGTGGGTAGGCCTTGTTTGACAAGGAAGGGATGGCAGAAATAAATGAAGGCAATAGTTGTAAATAGAATTTCAATAACTTTTCAGACATACCCCACCAACCTGAGTAATGCACAGGGCAAGCAAATGGGTGAGGAACATTTATGCACAGCTTTGCAAAATGGCGAAGTGTTCGCTTACTCCTGAAGAAAAATCACTGAGAAAACTATTTGACGATGGATACATGGAATTCTGATTTTACCTTTGATTGAGAATAATATTCTCTAAGAACCGCCTTGTATCCACATTGACTCCTTTTGTTGATCCTTTACCATTCTAGCATGTTTTCCTTGCTGCTTATGAAACAAAAAAACCAGTTATTTAGGCTGAAAATATCCTGGAGAAATGGCAGTTGATACTGCAGCATTTAGAGTGAGAAAGAGAAGTTTGGGCTCTATATTTTTAAACAGCTCATCTTTAAATAAAATGAGACTGAGGTTAGGAATCTTACTGCATGATCACATCAAGAGGGCTAAGTCAGCAGCTTAGGATTTTCATGCCAAGAGATCAGCGTGGAATGCAATAAGTTTTATAAGATATGCTTTGAGGGCTATTTTGTCTTGCAAATAAATCTTACCCTTTACATTTTGAGCAAGGTGGCATTTTGCAAGACTTGTAAGTTTTCCAGTGCTTGGGAGAATGAAGAACCTACGCCACCTTATAGGCTTTCAATAAATCAGGTTATAAAACCTCTTTGGGATTTCAGACCAGTAAATTCTACCTCTAGTTGAAGCAATGAATAAAAGTTTATGAGAATAAATAGTTTCAGGTAATTTAAAATATCATATTTTCCATACACATAATAAAAATATATCCATACAGTAATCTTGATGCTATCATATTTTTTCTGTTTTAAAAAAATAATCCCTTGAAAGTGCTATTAGGAGCTACCTTTCCATCTTCATTTTGAAAGACAAATTTCCTGGATTTGTAGTAGTGCTACAATTTTCATGCCATTCCTAAAGTCTTCCCCTTCCAAAGGTAATAATAATGTACATATATTTTTCTTAGCTTCTTCTTTAGGAAATGCTACTAAGTAAGAAATAATGAAAGAGTTAAAAAGGATGATTGGAATTGCCTATCTTTTACTTTGAACAAACAATGGGTAAGTTGTCCTTAACTTACTGAGACACATGTCTAAGTAGGACCACTTAATCTCCAATAGTAATAAAGCCTCTGAGTCCTAACAAAAAGTGCAAAACAAGAAACTCAGCTTATATAAAAAACCCTGATTAAGACAGTGTAACAAACTATGATGTGTGATAATGAGTCAAATTCAAATTCACAATATATAAACCACAGCCCAAACTAACAGTTTTTAACCATAACAGTGATGGTTTTCTAAGTTGGAGAAAGCATACTATACTTCAAGAACTAAAGTTGATAGATAGCAGGTTTTCGGTAAGTTGCAAAAACAATTAAGTAGCTACAGATTGCATAAATGAGTTGTGTCACATGATATGAAAGTTATTTGCAAAAATTATACAATCTGGAATGCTTGGATATAAGACACAACAATATACTGAAACATAAGAAAATGAGGGCAATCATTAATATAAAAGATACTTTTTGGGATGCATTAAGTTAGCAGTGCTAGCAAGATTAAATAGGTAAAATAAGTTCCTTTCGGTCAGAGACTTGGAACTTCAGTCATATATACCTATCACTTTTTCTTTGCAAAATATCATGTTTTCTGAGTCTTCTGGCTTGTGTTTCTTTGGCTCTTCAAAGACTTTCCTGGTTTAAGTCTGATTTCTGCACTGTGGTGGTGTTCACGTGGCCATTCTAGCCCTCTTCAGTCCATAACTTCGACCATACTTCACTGGAATGATGAAATACCTTGGGGACTTTGTGATTTTTAGATTTCCTGTTGTATTTTGAATTTGGGATTTCCTTCTTTTCTTCCTGAGGATACCATTCTTTAAAAGTGCCCCAGCCATCTTATTTCTGAGGCCCTGCTATTTTATTTGCACTTAAAGCAGAAGAGGCAGGTAAAGCTACACTTTTCTCAGCATTTGGTTGTTCTGGGGTCTCAAACTCCCAAGGACACACTTCAGCACGTGATATTAAAGATTGCTGGAAATTATTACTAGAGTTGTAGAAGCCAGGAACGTTTTCCACAGAAGGTAATGTCTTTGTTTCCTGGTCTCCCATTTGGTTGAGATTTTCATTGTCTACTTTTGATGCTATGATCTTGGGGGTTAGTTCTTCGTATTGCCCAGCACTCACATTAGGTGTATGATGTGGACCTCCATTCTCATCTTTGACTCGCCCTGGGAGGACTGGAGTCTTGGAAATCAAATGCTTCTCTTCTTCAAATAGGGACTGACCTTGGTTCTCCCAAGGACAGACTTCAGCCTTATCTATGCCCTTCTGATTGAACTGCTGATATCCTTCAGGTGACTTAGACTTGTGGTAAGATTTCTCCTTTAAGGAAAATGTTGGGTTTTTCTCCATTTCAGAAGCTGCAATAGATACATGTTTTTGAGATTTTGATTCTGAAGGCACAGGACCAGGTGTCAGGTCATACATCTCCCAGGGACACACTTCCCCAATATCAAAGTTGTCCTTCATCTGGGTGGTACCTGGGCTCAGGTCAGAGTTGGCAGTGGCAGGGTTGATCCTTTGTTGTTTCATAATCCCAGATTTCTGAGGCCTCCTTGGCTCTTCCACATGATTGGAATTTTGGGGTGCAGAATCCTTTGTCTCTGCATTGTCTGAATTTGAGTACTTTCTGTTAGTCTCTTTGTCTTTTGGCGGAGCTTTCTGAGATTTAGCACGTTCTTCTGCACTGGAGGCTTGGGTTTTCCCAGCTAATCCAAGAGTCTTCTCCTTGGCACTTGCTATGACACTGAGAGACTTTTGTAACATCGATGTTCGTGGGTGCCCAGGTTTCTTCTCAGAACTGAGGTTGTGAGCACTTGCTGACTTACACACCAAAGGCACAGACTCCGTGGACTCAGCCTCGCTGTCCTCTTTAAGCTTTTGCATCAGTTTTTTACTCGAAAGGGATTCCAGTGTGGAATTTTCAGTAGTTTCTTCCTCTTGGCTTTCTGTTGGCAGGCTACTGGACTCTTCGGTTTGATCTCTCACATGGTCATAAGTGCTGTGGGATTTCTTGAGTGAGAAGACTCGGTTTTTCAGGGACTCTTCCTTGGGTCTCCCAGTGTTTCCTGAAGACTCTGGAGGGTTCTTCCTGACTAGGGCTGCACTTTTGGTTGTGCTATGGTCTGCAAGGTCCTTGTCCTCTTTGGAGCACTGCCTGCTGACAGTCTCTGGGATTTCAGTGATGCGCCTCATGATGGAACGGCCTAAGCCCTTCTTTGAGCACCGCTTTTTCTGGAGGTGGGGATTATTTGTGATCATCTTTTTCCTTTTATATATTTCTAATTGGGCATAGAGTTTCTTTAGCTCATCCTGCCAAAACAAAAGCAAGTTTAAAAAGATGTATAACTACATGTTTCAGTCATAATATTGCTGAATAGTATTTTAATTCAATAAGCATAAATTCTTTACAAATGATATACAGCTTTTCTTAATATCTGCCTTCATCAACGTTCTCATCCTCATGGTTATTTTCTAATTGTTCTATGTTTAAACTTCAAGACATGAACTCATGCATTCTGCCCTTGAATCATGGGTCAACGACTCAGCTTTCAACTTGTGAGGACAAGACTGAGCCAGAACTATAAAATATACAGAAAATATTGACTGTTGGTGAAGCATAACCTTGCGCTATGTCAGAAGCGTCATGTAATCATTGTTGAAGTTATGCCTGATGTTAGGCTAGACTCAGTGAACAACTGTATACAGACCACTAAAAAGTATCTTTCTTCTTTATATGCTTGTATGGTGTTACAGATTATTTTAAATGATCCCGTTCTCAGCCATATACTCATATTATGAAACTTTGTGAAACCAGTTCCTCATTATGATTGCTAATCAATCAATCAATCAATCAAGATTATTAGTTTGGACCAGGTTACTGTAAGAGCTGAAATAGCTTCTTTATTTCAATTTGTATCATCACGATACATTTCAGCATGGGTTTAATGTTGATATCTTCAGTTCATACACAAACATGCATCTCTTTCTAATATACATATTCAAAAAACATGAATCCTTGCACACACACACAAATACACTTGCCTATATTGCCCTGAGTGGGCCTAACCTGAACCAGAAGAGCAGATACACAAGCATTACCCGAATATCTTCTGGATCCAAACTGTGCTCGCTCCAGGCTGAATTTATACTGCTGTTCAGGTAGGATCCAGATCGGCCCATATCTAACTCATCCTCATAAGCCTCTGTAGCAATATCATCTCGTGGATTATTGCTTGAATGTGAAAACTGAAAAAGATATTTAATATGAGCCATAGGCATTCACTCATTATAATACACAGCACAATAACTTTCTAAACATTCTAATGTTGACAGTATGTCGCTAGATACCTTCCAGTGGTTTGCACTGTATTTGTGTTTTGCTCCTAAAAGACAATGTTCTGACTTTCCTTCTCTTTGACCCCACCTTTCAAACTTCTTTCTTTTCCAGGATGCTAGTTAATTTCCACTATGGTACTCTTCTTCCATGATGTATTTATGTTTTAAAAATGAAAACACAGAAAAATCCCCCAAAAATGCTCTCTAAGAGGAACACTTTACATCTGCAGGCACCAGAGGGATTTTTTTCTTAGCAGTGCGATCTATCTTGTGGCTGCCATTCACTTCTTATTGGTGAAGATGGAATTCATCTGTGGACACAAGTAGTCCTCCGGACACGAATGTGCTGTTTGGACTACTCCACATGCTCTAAAACATTAGTTTCACAACTCAGTGAACAGAACATCTGGCTCCAGTCTCAGTCTCAAGTCTGCCAGCAGTGAGATGTTTTAATAAGCCATGGGCCTGCACTGGAGCACAGAGGTCTTCTCTGTCTATGAGCTGGATGATATCTATGCAAGGACAGAAAGAATCTCTGAAACTACAAACTTTTCCTCAAACTCTTCATTGCCTCCTTCAATACATTTCCCATTATTTTCTTGTGGCCTTTTGTATGTGGGGTACGAAAGGGAGCACTTTTGTCTTTTGAATCACTCTATTTTACTTGTTTTGTGTGTTCTTCGCAATTCTAAGTGGAGAAATCAGGAAATAAATTAATAAATAACAGAAAAAAAAAGAGAAGCAAAACAATCTAGTCACAGTTTAGGATATTATACAAACCAGTATTCTATGAAAGTTGGGGAAATAGCTTAGAGTATATGGATTCTCATCTCTTAGCTTAGCATTAGTTCAATTATTATTTTAATTAAAAGAACAATTTTATGAAGATGTAAGATGTCTTAATAGGTTCTACTATAGAACAGAGCTTGTCAGATGACTATGTATATGGGATAATATGTGAAACAGAAATTTTATATGTAAGTAATAATGTATGTTTTGTAATTGAAACTCACTCAAAAACCACAAAATCTATAAATCTTTTCTTTCTTCTACCACCTACTTTAGTGAAAGCTACTGGTACCATGAATTTAATGATATGGTACAGTAAGAAAATTTCATATGCTACTAGTTAAACCACTGTATCCATACATCTAATAAATCACATTACACAAGTGTTGAAGCATTGTTGTACTATGTTAAGCTTTGAAGTTGTTATAACATATTAAGCTATTAAAATGATAACTAGTTAATATAATTCAATTAAGGAATAAAATAAGTATTTTGTTTGTTTGTAAATGTCAGTCCTTTTCAATCATGCTGAACCTCAACATTTTGATTACCTGTGATAGTTGAGGTAAAGCACCGAGTGAAAAAAAAAATCACAATTCTTGGTTCAGCAGTGTTAAACATTTGTATTGTGTGACACTGATAAGACACATAATAGTCTAATCTTATGCTCTCTATATAAATGAGACAATGATAATGCTGTAATTCAAGTAATATGGCTTTTACCCAAACTCTAATACTATTAATTTCTATTCCAAGCAACTTTACTGCTATTATGTCACCAACTGAAACTTAGAGAGATCCAGTCTTGCCTATTACAGTACACAGCTAGTCTATGACACAGGGTAAGTTTAGCATTCTTGTTTTCAGAATCCTGGTCCATTTTTCTCCACTTCATTAAGCTGCCTAGATAAGTCCTTCTCAGAAACTATCAATACTGATGCTTTTCTATACCTAATAATATGATTACTTATTTTTTTATATAAATCCATTGTGAATGTTCTAAACATGAGGTTTCTTGGACTATGAAACAAAAGAATTTTTAGAATAGGGTTTTTTAAGAAAAATGACCTTGATTTTATAACTATAATGAAAGCCATCTGAAACCATAACTGAAACCTACATAGATATCAAAATATGTGGAAAAGGACTGAGATAGGCAATCGGTTTTACTATAAATTAAGGCATTTAATATTTAAGATTAAACAATAATAAATACCACCCCAATCAGACAAAATCAATCAGTTTCTCTAGGAAAAAGTTTTAAATATTTTTTATAGTGTTAAGAAAAATTCCACACTTTCTTTATTTATATTGCCAGGTTTTTTTTTTTTTAAATCAGGAATTGAACTTATGATCTCGGTGTTTAGCAGGCAGGTGCTGTGCCACTGAGCTACATCTCTGGTCCAAATAACAGATTTTTTAAAAAGAAGAAACAATTTTATGCTCCTTTAAAATAACTGTCTGGCAATAAAAATAGAAAATTGGAAGAATACCTTTGGAATCAAAAGCAGCCCAATGGTGACTGTCACAGTCAAATGAGTGTGTGCAAAATAGAGCATCAGCATCCAGTCAGACTGCAGCCGTGCAGCAAGAACAAATCTGAAATGAAAATCACCCAACTTAGCAGCAGAAGAGCAAGTATTTATTTTTTATAACAAAATTAAATTTTTATTAGTTTTTATAATATGGGTGAAACTACTCAGTTAAGAAAGAACAGATGGTTAGATTGCATGGAAAAAAACAGTTCTCTTGAGAACCCACAGGAGGAAAAGGACTTTTGGTGCCTTCTAGCTTGCATTTTTCCCCAGCAGAGATGAATATTTCCATACGAGGCACAACACTAGAATATTTGAAAATGTGCTAAAGATTTCCTAGCATTACTGGTATGTATGTAAGTTGACTCTGAAAAGCAAAGAATGAATTCACATGAATTAAAGGAAGAAGATGTTACATGGATAGAAGTTGGAGGGTGAATCTAGGTTGTAAGTCACATCCAAATAAACTTTGATTCTCATATTCTTTATTTAAAAACATTAATTAGAACAAGTCTAGGAGACATAGACACAGAATGAATTAGAAGTCACCCCTGGAATTTCTGAAATGATAGCAACTGAAGTAAAGAAACAACTTAGTGCTTATATTATTTGATTAACTTTGCATGCCTATATCTGGCAGTCTACACAACTATTTAGAGAATAATGATGTGTAATACAGTAACTACTGTTATCTCCTATTGTCTTGTTTTTGAAATCAAATATCATTCTCATTGTTTTGTTTTATTGCTTTTGTTTCTCTTTAAAATTAAAAAAATTAAAGAAAAAAGGATGATGTCCCAAGTTTAAATGTTAAATAATGTAGTGAAAAAAACTATATATTAATAGTTTGTAAGTTGCACATTTTGAAATAAAAATTTTAGTGGTTTTAAACTGTCAGACAGTTTTTTGTTTGACAAACAATTGTTTTTGTCAAACAATTGTCTTAAACAATTTAAAATGTAATATTTAAAATTTTATCTTACTGAGGAATTTAGAAAGCTGTGTTCCAAGTTGGGGAGAAACAATTCAGCACCAACATTTACTCTGGTAATTTTGGACTAGTTTTTGGTAAATCGGCAGGTACATGTACAAACCAAAGATCATGTTTTAAAAACTTATCCTTGAAGCTGGGGATGGAGCTCAGTGCACAGTGCCTGTCTGGCAAGCATGAGGCCCCAGTTTGATTACTGGTACAAAACAAAACACAAAAAAAACTTACCCTTATGCAGACATCAAGAGTGACTTTTATAAAGGTCCTTTTTGCAATGCTAGCCTCTAACATTTTCATATCTACCATTTATCTATGAAAACTAAAGATGAGATTTTATTACATTTAGAATTAGAAAATAGGATGTTAGTTGGATTGTCAAATTTAAAAAGGTAAGATCCTAAGAAAATGTCCATGACATCATAATAACAAAACAAAAGTTCATGAATGACTAAAAGAGAAACAAACTGATTTTATATTTGTATGACACTATACTTATGATGATTTTGTCAAATAAATTAATGATGTTAATTTAAAAATATTATCATCAAGTATATTTGTTGCGAATTTTCACTTCCCGTCCTTTGAACATTAAGCTAAAAAGGAAGCTTAAGTGTTACTCAAAATATTTATTTTCCCATGTTACTGGAATTGCAAACAAAATAGTCTTGTAACACATACAGAAATTCCAAATGCTTATATCTCACATATATCAACAAAAAAGCTTTTCTGAGCTAAGAGTAGTGGCATATATATGCCTGTAACTCCAGCTACTTGTTAGTCAGACAGGAGAATTGCAAATTTGAGCCCAACCTGGGCAACTTACCTGGACTCCATCTCAAAATAAAAAAGGGCTGAAAGTGTAGCTCAGTGTGAAGGATTGGGGTTCAGTCTTCAGTAACACACACACACACACGGCTTTTGTGGAATTCCTTATGTGACTCACGGTCTTATAGAAGCCTGTATGCCTGGAACATGACTTAACATTCCTTTGTTCTGAGATGTGTACTTTTGGCATAGTCTGTTTTCCTGAGTCATATGAGTTTTGTTTTGCTTTTTTTAAAGCATCATCATAGGATCATCATACTTAGTAACAAGTTAAAGTCTTGGAGGCATATAAGCTATACAGATATTCCTTTTTAATGACTGAGTTCCATTTTTGCTGCTAAATTTTTAAACAAATTGGTCAGTAAGTGAGGAATTGTACATAGTATGTATATTACAATATTCAGAACAAAGAAATAGTCAAAGTAAACTCCAACTTGATAACTCTGCTTTTATTTGCATACCTCTTACATGCAGTACTGTGATGTATAACAAAATATAAAAATACAGAACAGCACAATCAGCAAAAACTATATTACTATATTTAAAAAAATGTACTGTACAGAAGGACATTGAGGATGCTATAAATGAGATGTATATAAATATACAAAAATAAGGTTCTAAGTCTGAGTAGCAGGTTGTTAGGTCCAAAGAGTTATTAAGTGGTCACTAAATGAAGAATATCTGTATATATACATATAATCTGAAAAAATAATACAATCCTAATAGGTTAGGGATCACTGCAAGTACTGGAGAAGATGGTTATATCAGTGAAGATGAATTTATAGTCTATAAGCATTTTCATGTACTTGGAATTCCTATCCCAAAATGCCAATACATGTGAATTTAAAGGTAGCAAGGCATATCTAGAACGCAGAATGGTTGTACATATTTTTAGGTAAGATAGTGAGTCTACCCAAAATACTTTTGACATATACTAACAGTAATTAACTTCAAATTAATCAGATTTAAATTACTTCCACGCTTTTCAAAAATTGTAGTTCTAATAAGAAATATCTTGAGGAAAACTGAATTTTGTAGTAGCTTTAAATCTACATTTGAAAAAAAGTCTTTTGACTCTTAAAAAAATAAGACTAAATTCTGGGAGCATACAAATATTTGAAAACTGAGGCTAAGTATAAAGCAGATTGTTTAAAATTTTGCACTTTCCTAAATGTTTGCTTTATGCTTAGCACTAAAAAAAACAAGTAAAAGATTAGAACAGACTGAGAAATAGGCTTTCTATATACTTGTTATGGATTAAGAACTGGTGGTCAACTTAACGCCAGCTGGATTATATCAGCATGGCATTGGGCAAAGATGCTCCACCTGAGAAAAGCTGCCAGGCTAAATAGGTGGAGAAGAAGAGAGGTGTTGAGGATTGAGGTGTTAAGGAGGCATTGTGGGTTCTTCTACGAGTTGCTGTCTGAGCTGTTGTTTCTCCTGGAGAAGCTTTGGTCTTCACGTTGAGCATTGCTTCCTGGCTCTGGAGGGGAAGACATGTGCTGCTTGGTCTCCAGGATAACCTCCTTCCTGGCACCTACCGATTATGCTTGTCATCGGAAGAGCTTGGGGCCTCCGTGTCACTGAGGAAAGCTGTGGTGCCTTTCAGGATAGCCCTGATCTTTGTTGTGAGTGCAACTTCTCAGCTCCAGCGTAAAACCCTCATCCCACTAGCACAGCTCCTTCATCCTGCTGGCATAGACTTTCTGGCTTCCACCACTGACCCTTGGGTCTTCCCGGCACGGATCCGTAAAAGAGACTGGCGTGAGTCCTTCTTGTGGGCTCTGGGCCTCCAGTTGGACTCCTGGGAGGCATTGTCCTGAGCTCTAGATTTTTATCTGGACTCATGTGGGACATTGTTGTGGGGTTTAGACTCTTGACTAAATAATCTATGTTTTTGGTGTTTGTTGCAGGTAGATTTCCTGCATTTTCCTGTGTTAACTTCCAGTGACCATTATAAAAATATTATAAACTCCATGTCCTAATCCTAATTGTTCTCTGTGTACAACTGCTAACTACAACAGTACTTAAACATTTAGATTTAATGTTTTGATATCAGTTTTTTTTGTGTGTGTGTGATCTGACAATTTGGTAAGAATGAAAATAAATCCATATATAATATGTAATATGTTATAATTTATATATGCATATATGTGCACATATAATTTTATATTTTAATTTACAAGAAAGATATACTGTATTTACAAGAAATATCTTTTCTCATGTTGGATATCTTATTCAATATTATTTCACTCAAGAAAAAAATGTCTAAAATTGATTCCCTTGATTTAAATTATTAAATGTTATTTCTTCTTACTTTTTGATTTTACAAGTATTGGAACCATAGGATATATAAGTTAAGTCAATCTATAAATAAGACATTATATATACTTGCAATTTTTTAGTTACTGTTGTTTATTAGTTGCTCCCATATAATCCCTCAAAATCAGTGTTCTGCACATTTATTATGATAAATTATAATTCAATCTGTTTATCCATTATTAACATCCAAATGCTATAAAACACAATCTGCTGTGGGTCGAGTAAGTCCAGCGGAGGCGTGGAATTCTCTTCTTTGCCTGGGGGCCAGGCTCCTGCTCCCTGTTGGTCGAGTAAGTCCAGAGGAGGCAGAGAACCCCACCCTAGCCCGGTGAACCGTTTTCTTTGCCTGGGACCCAAGATCCAGCTTCCTGTCAAAATCAGTGAGTAAGGAGGGGGCAGGGAATTCTGTCCAGCCTGGCTGACCTCTCTACCTCACTTGGAACAACACTTGAAGCTCAAAAATATAGGAAAATGACAAAACGAAAGACCAAAATACAGTCTCAAACATCCAGCCCATCCCAAGAAAGCCTAGGAGCCATGTGCATAGAAGAAAATATATGCCACATACCTGAAATACCTGAAATAATAGTAACTGAAATAAAGAAGCAACTCTGGGAAGCCTTAAAGGAATTCAAACTAGAAATAATCTCTCAGATAAAAGATATGAAGGACATACTGAACGTATCTAAAGAAATGAAGGACATAATGAACGTATCTAAAGAAGATACAGTTAAAAAATTTGAGGAAATAAACAAAAAGATAAAATCCCTGGATGAACAATATAAGAAACAAACAGAATATATAAAGCAGATGCAGAGATATACGGGAAATCAAAAACTCCATTGAAAGTTGTAAAAACTGCCTCAATGAATGTGAAGATAGAATTTCAGACCTTGAAGACAAGATTGCAGCTAGCGAACAGGAAA